CCTTGCAACTGGCACAAACTGTGTAGCCAGCCCGTGGCCCTTTAAGGGCTCCGGGGCCGGGAGGGGGGCAGTAGAGTTTCCCTGGTGTTGGTCAGAGTGGCCACCAGGGCAAGCTGGGAAGGGCTAGCCTCCCACTAGTTCGAATTAAGGGTCTACACAGCCCTTAATTCGAACTAGTAGGCTTAATCCTCATGGAATGAGGATTACCTAGTTCGAACTAAGCGCTCCGTTAGTTCGAATTAAATTCGAACTAACGGAGCGCTAGTGTATCGCCTATGAAAGTTAGTTCGAACTAACGTCCGTTACTTCGAACTAACTTTGTAGTGTAGATATACCCTCAGAGAGTGTCCTAAAACTCCTAGCTGTGTCTAGACTGGCCAGTTTGCCAGCTGTCTACACTGGCCGCTTGAATTTCTGCAAGAACACTGACGGTCTCATGTAAGAAATCAGTGCTTCTTGAGGAAATACTATGCTGCTCCCATTCGGGCATAAGTCCTTTTGCGCAAAAGCTTTTGCACGAAAGGGCCAGTGTAGACAACTCAGATTTGTTTTGCGCAAAAAAGCCCCAATCGCAAAAATGGTGATCAGAGGTTTTTTGCGCAAAAGCGTGTCTAGATTGGCCATGGATGCTTTTGCGCAAAAGTGCTTTTTGCATTAAAGCGTCCATGCCAATCTGGACGCACAGCTTGCTTTGTCGACAGAACTGAATGTGTCTAAACGCTCTATGTCGACAGAAGTTTTGTCGACAGTATCTGTCGACAAAACTTCCGTCGACAAAACCCTGTAGTCTAGACGTACCCTTGGAGACAGAGGGTTGCCAGATGTCCAGTTTTCCACTAGAAAGCCCAGTTGAAAAGGGACCGTGGAACTCTGAGATGCTAAAAGTCCAGTCCATGGCACAACAGGGCTAAGGTCAGTTCCACACCCAGCTCTGTGTGGCTCCCTGAAGCTGCCAGCATGTCCCCTCTCCAGCTCTTAGGCTCAGGGATAGCCAGGGAATACTGTACATTGCCCCTGCCCCAAACTACAACCAATGGGAGCTGTGGGTGCCTGTAGCTGGGGAAATGTGCAGAGTTGCCTGCTACACCTCTGCCTAGGATCCAGATGGAAGACATGATGCCACCTCTGGGAGCTCCAGAGCCTATGTCCCCTCCTACAGCCCTACTCCCTGCCCCAGCCCAGAGCCCTCTCCTGAACTCAAACTTCCTCCCACAGCCTCTACCCCATGCCGCATCCTCACCCCCATGCCAACCTTGGCTCCCTTCTATACTCCTATCCTTTAGCTGAGCCATGACCCCCTGCCACACCTAAACTCCCTCCCAGAGCCTACACCCCATGCACCTTAACCTAGCCCTGACCCTCTTTCAGCACTCCAAACCCCACACCAGAGCCTGCACCCCCAGCTGGAGGCCTCACCTCTTCCCACACCCCAACCTCCGGCCCAGCCCAGTGAAAATGAGTGATAAGGGGACAGTGAGGGAGGGGAAAGGCAGGACATGGGGGGCAGTGTCTTGGAAAAGTTGCAGGGCAGGAAAAAGAGTTTTCTTTTTTTGCAGTCAGAAAGTTGGCGACCCTTTGGAGACACTATACAATGAGTAAAATTAATATGTCTCTCTCATGATTTGGTGCATTCCCCAAGTTTTTAGGTAAAGCAGCCACATACATATTTCCACAAGTAAGTACATGTGAGGTGGCTGTTGCTATTTGGGTTCTGCTGTTCACTCCTCTCTTCCACTGAATAAGCATTGCTCTGTAGATGTCATTGTTTCTGATAATACAGGCAGTCCCCGGGTTACATGGATCCGACTTACATCGGCTCCCTACTTACAAACGGGGTGAGGCAACCCCGCACTAGCTGCTTCCCCCCAGCAGACCAGGGAGACGCGGAGCGGCTTGTCTCAGCAGACATCTCAGCTTGAGAATAAAGGACTGAGGGAAGTGAGGTGTGGGAGAATAAAACTGAGCTCTGGAGAAATGTTTGGCTAGAGTTTCCCCTACAATATGTACCAGTTCCGACTTACATACAAATTCAACTTAAGAACAAACCTACAGTCCCTATCTTGTACGTAACCCGGGGACTGCTTGTCCCCTTAAATCCACAGTAACTATTCCTCACTTGCAAAGACTGACTACTGACTGCAATAGCAACCATTATCAGTCCACATACCAGCTCTGATATCTTCTTGTCACTCTTCTGTACAGTATCTCAAGTCCCTGGCTGACATACTAGAAGGATTTAGCTCTGTGCCCATTCAAATCAATGGCAAAACTCACAGGGTATGTCTACACCAGCCCTCTAGTTCGAACTAGGGAGGCTAATGAGGGCGACTGAAGTTGCTAATGAAGCGCGGGATATTTAAATATCCCGCACTTGATTAGCATAATCCCGGCTGGTCGCCATTTTGGAAACTAACTAGCCCGAAATAACTGCCCGCGTCTATACGTGGCAGAGAAGCGGGATTCTGAGTTAAACCCCTTAGTTCGAATTAACTGTCAAAACCTCATTCCATGAGGAGTCGCCCTCATTAGCCTCCCTAGTTCAAACTAGGGGGCTAGTGTAGATGTACCCATAGACTTCAGTGATGCCCCTTTCTCATCACCAAAGACAAAGTTTTAATACATAAAACTCAATATAATAGTTGTTGATGGGATCCACTTTAGCTCTCCCTGCCCTAGGTTTGAATATTGATAATTGTTGTCTTTTTCTCTCTTTCTGGAAATAATTTTTTGGGGGATAACAAAAGAAGCAGAGTAGTTTGAAGAGTATTATATAGCCAATGAGGATATGTCAACAAGTGCTACCATTGCAGAGCCAATAATGAGTTAAATGTCTAGATGGCTGTATTTTAAACTTCTCATTTACAGTCTAATTTTTAAGCAAACAGAAAGGCCTTGCTTGGCAAATATAAAACTAATTCTGGATTTGAAAACCTAATCTAAATTATGGGTTAATATGGGCATTTATTTATTTTTTTCTCCAAATGCTAATCATGCTATGTATCTGGCAGTCATTCCATCATCACCCTACAAAATACTGAGTGCTATTACTGTAAGCAATACATTGAGACTATAATCCACTTACCAAATTAGAATCACTGGGAGGATGGTACTTCTCTGTGCCCATTCTCACAAGTCCATCATGATACAAAAATATTTTTAATGGATCACAGGATGTTACCAGAATGTACACTCGTAAATCAAACTTGTATCCTTCCATAAGAAATGGTTTGTCAAGGTATTCCTGAACAATCAAGTGATCCTGAGCTTGTAGTTTTTCTCCATTTCTTATCAGAGAGATTCTGGTTAAAACAAAGGTTAATTTAAAACACTGGCATTTGACACAACTCTTTGAAGTACATAGTTGACCAGCCAGAGAACCATCTTAATTCCGTTATTAATATAGATATTTGTGTATTTATTTGCATGGTACAGCAAATATGCCATTCACTTACATGTTTTTATTGCTTCCTATGCTTGACAGTGGTAAAATGGGATGAAGAATATCAATTCACCATTTAAAAATAACTTCTTCTACTATTCATTTTAGAGTTTGGAATAATGGATTTCTCTCTGCTGTTCAGAAATGCTAGGAAGAGTGACCAGTCAGTGGATTTTAAGATTTTTTCTTGCCATGCAGCTTAGAAGATACTTTCTTGAGTTCATCTTCTGCCCCAGATCTAGGTTTCAATGCTACTTTACTGCTGACCTGATTCCAATGGAACTACTTATAACCTGAGTTCAAGTAGTAGAATCAACCCTTACACACATTTACTTATCAACAGATTGGAAAATGTTAAGCCCGAAACATATACTTTTAAAATATTTAATATATTTCATGTTTCATATAACTAAGTGTCTGAGCTAACTGATATAATGAATTCCAGTACATTAAAATCTCTGTTAAAAATACTAACATTTGGAGTTAAAGTAATAAACCTGTGAAAATTCAGAGTTGTGATTGAAACCAGTATACTTTATCTCTCCTGATTGTTCCTATAACATCCCACCCCAGTACTTTGAGTCCCATAAATAAAAGTATATTGCCTATATGATATTTTCACAAAAGGAATCCTGATTTCAAGTCCTATTTGAGCCCATTATCAGCAAAAGCTTTTTGTAACACAGAAAGGAAACTTCTCTTTTTACCATTTTCATTTAGCTTTATAACTCAGCTGTTACTGGTCTGTAGGCCTTTGTCAAAATTAGAGCCTTTTTATACTGACACTACTAGCCATACATTAAACCCAGCAGTATACAATAAGTCACTCAAAAATTAAGATTTAATCTCAAAAGCCACTCATTATTTGAAAATTATTTGTAGATATTTCACCTTTGTTTAGATAACATGAATAATCTATTCAATTAACCTACCCATGCCCCATCGCACCATTAGCTGGTTTGACTATGAAAGTTTTCTGTCTTCGCTTCTTCTTCAGTTCCTTTACATAATTCTGAAACTGCATATATTCTGCAGGGAAGATCCATGTTCGAGGAATAAAACTATACTCCTGAGGCTGAGACTTGATCATTCTGCAAAAAGGGAAACTGAATTTAGAAACCTTTTGTTATCTTCAAATTTAGGCTTATTGCAGATGGTCTACAGGACTAAATTGAATTCTGAATGGGGACTCTGAAGAGCAAGTTTATTGCCTTAAAAGGAGCAACAAGAAAATTAGTCCAAAACAGTTAAGAATGGTTGTCTATGCATTAATATGCAAGCAGTCAGAACAATAAAAAGAGCTATATTGCATTTTTGCATATCCTCATGCATGGACTCATTTCTCCTAAAGATGTGGCTCAATTAATAAAAATCCTTAGCGATACGCTATACTTCCTAAATTAAAGTGTACAATGTAATGAAGATATATACCAATTCATAGATCCTCCTATTGGCAGAGATATCCGCCTTATAATTATTACATTTTGGTTGCAATATTTTGGTAGCATTTTATCCCCAGGGCGTTAGGGATACATTTTGTGCTAGTCTAAGATGCTATCATGGTATGTTTGTACTGAAGACATTCATAAGAATACATAGTGAAAAGCATGTGTGTGCGTTATAAAGATTAGGAGGGACCTAAATTCATGTTTCTAGAATGGAGGAAAAGGATATGTGGGTGGTGACAGGGAAGAAAAAAGGACCCAAACTACAAGAAGTTTCTGGAAGCATTTTACAAACTGGAAATTATGACACCAAAGAGGATACAAATGGTGCCAAGAAGTCACTGGGGAGGTCAGGGGGAATGAAGGAAAAAGGAGAAAAAAAATGCAAGAAAACCATTACAGGTTGAATCTCCCAAATCCAGGACTCTCTGGTCCAGCAACAGCCATGGTCTGGCAGGGCCATGGATGTTGCTGGACCAAAGAACCCCACAGGCAGAGAGCAGAAGCCAGCTAGGAGGATGCAGGGCTGGGGAGCCCTGGCTGGGCCAGCAGTGGCTGGACCAGCTGGCATCTGGGGAACCCCAACCCGGCTGGGGAACACCCAGCATCAGTAGGGCCAGGAGGTTGAGGAGTCCTGCCCTGGGCAGAGAACCCCCGCCATCAGCAGGACCAGGCAGCAAACAGGGAGCCCGTGCCCCAGACAGGGAACCCCTGGTGTCAGCCAGGCCAGACAGCAAACTAGGAGTCCCTGCCTTGCCTGGAGAACCCCTTGCAAGCAGCAGGGCCAGGCGGCAGCTAGGCGGCCCCAGGGAAGCCCCCACATGAGCAGGACCGACCCCAGCAGTGGGGTGGGCCAGTGATGGCTAGGTAGCCCCAATAAGGGAACCTCAGGAAACACCCACCAGCAATGGGCTGAGTGGCTCCAGCCAGGGAACTCCCCCAGCATTATCAGGGTCAGACAGGGCTGGGGAACCCCCTGGCATCAACAGGGTCAGGAGGTGGGGAGCCCCAGCCATGGAAGCTCTGGAATCCCTGGTGGCAGTGGGGTTGGGGGAGGCTGGGCAGCCCCATCCAGAGAACCCCTGATGGCAGCGGAGCCAGGCAGCAGTAAGTGAGATTTGGCTGGAGAGACCGCCTGAGGAATCCCCAGGGGCAGCGGGGCATCGTCATCCAAGCAGGGCTGGCTGGCAAGGAAACCCAGGGAAACCCAGGCAGCATCGAGCGGGAGCCCCAGATTTGAGAGTTTCAAAATAAAACTGGCAGCATTATATGGCCCAAATTGATCTTTTTGAAATAAATATAACATTGTGCAGTGAATTCTCTAAGGCCATGTCAACACAGCAAGCTTATTTCGAAATAACTCATACTTCAAAATAATAGAGTGCACATCTACTCAGCAAGCCCATTATTTTGAAATAATTTCAAAATAACGGGCTTCTTACTCCTGCTTCTTTAGCCCTCATTTCACAAAGAGTAAGGGAAGTTGAATGAAGAGTGTTCTTTCTTCAACTTCCTGTTGTGTAGACAGTGCCAAAATTCGAGTTAAGGTACTTCAACTTGAGCTACACAATTAACGTAGCCGAAGACTGTCATCTTAACTCAGCTTTAGCTTGCAGTGTAGACGTACCCTCCCAGGTTAGATTTAGTTACACTCTTACACTGCCATTGAAAGTTACAATGACTTGGATGTAAGTGGACTTAAAGTATCATTTCAAGTGTTTCAGTCCAACTGTGGCACCTTGAGAGATGACTAATAGTAGGGATGTGAACATGTAGCCATTTACACGATTAACCAATGAGCCTGGGCTCATCGGTTGATCCTAACAATTACACACAGGTACCCCTACACCTGCTGCCTCTGTATCAGAAGCAATGGGGATGGGTGGGGCAGGCTCCCCTGCATGGAAATGTGTAACCGCTTAAATTCACAGCAGTCACTCATTTATAAAATTAAACGTATTTTAACTTCCCTAATTAATAACTTCTCTCAGTAACAGAAATGACATAATAATCAAGCACATCTGCAAGACTAGGACTGGAGCCAAAGCTTAAAAATATTGGTACAATAGATACACTGTCACTGAATCTACTGGCTAACTAAACAAACATTACAGAAACCACAATAGCCACTAACGTTTTTACACACTGCAGTAAACTAAAGTTTTTCACAGTCTTAGCTGTATTTAACACTTACCAATTTGAGTTGGGGAACACCATGCACAGAGTCAGGCTGCTGGAACAATTTGTATAGTGAGGGTGCTGAAAGCCATTGAACCAAACTATAAATCCTTTATATAATGTGAACTACTTCAAACCAGGGGATTCTGCAACACCCCCACACCTGTAGTTCCAGCACCTATGCACAGAGCACCATATTATCCATATTTACAAACTAAGAACTAATATTAAACTATGCTGCTTTTATACCTCTAAACATATTCCTGCCTTATTAGGTGAATACCTCATCTCACCACTATTTATTTTAACCCCCCAAAGGATTTCTTATGCTACATTTTCCTTCATCATTAAAAGGGCATAAGTCAGAGGTGTGCAAATACCAGCCCACAGGCTGGATTTAGTCCACCACAGTTAGCCCCGCCCATGTCCCGATCCATGCCACTTCCAACCACTCCCATTGGCCGGCAGCAGTGGTCCACAGCCAACAGGAGCTGTGATCGCCAGTACCTGTGGCCATGCAGATAAATATAGCAGCCTACCAGGGGCTAACCCTGGCAAACTGTGGCCGTGTTAGCGCCCAGCCCGGCATAAAGTATACATCCCAATATATAGTACATGACAGACTGGAAAAACACACATTATTGCATGTTGGCATTTAATTAAACTACATATTTGAATATTCAGCTCTCTCACCAGCTGGATACAGTTTCAAGGCATTAGGTACTACTTCTGAACTACACATTTCTCATAGCAGGGACTTTTTTATGCCCTTTATACCACTGAGCAGACTTGTCAGCACTTAATAAATACAAGCCTTGGCACCCGCTGATGTTCAACTAAAATGTAAATATTTCTTTTATCTTTTCTCCTCACTAAGGCCCCTATTCTAGGAAGCATGCAATCAGGTGCTTAGCTTTAAGCACAAGTTTGAGTGCTTTCCTGAATCAGGCGTAATTCATCATAGTAGGACTGTTTTTCCAAAACAACCCAGTACTGTGCCATTTTTGTGCCGTTTCTCTTGTCCTATTTTCCCTCATCAGGTTCTCTATAGTCCTTACTATAGAGGACTGAAGAATACAGCACTGTAAGAAAAGCAAGCTATTGTTCTTTGAGTGCTGTTCTAACTAATACATGTGGCTCTTCAGTCAGACTGTATGCTTTTTATTATTTGCAGAGTGCACTCTGTAAAAGAAATCATAGATGTTCAGAACATAAAATTTAGCATGAAAAATTACCAAAGCCAAGATCACTTGTTTATTTCCCAGTATAATTGCATCTATGGCTCTGTCTCAAGATTTAGTAACTTTTCAGGAACAGGAGGCGACTGTGAGAAGATGGAAGTGATTCAGCTGACCTTGATCCTTTATGACTGAGTCCTCAAACTTCTTCAATGTAACCACACATCCTACTGTCTTACTCCTAGTTTTGTTCCTTTTTTCAGTCACGTGGACAGCAATCTCTACCGTTCATTATCACCTGAATCTCTATTGCAACCATAACAATTGTTGACATGAGAAGTGTTTATAGGAAAGTATTGAAGTATTTTTTCTTTCTTGAAGATGCTGTGAATAGTCCTTTTAAAAAAAAGTTATTTGCTTTGTTGCCTTTTACTTATAATTCATCTCCTCTTCCTATCTGTTCAACTCCTTTCTCCCCGATCCTCTTCTTAATATTATATGTTGTTGTGGCTATATTTGTTCTTATCTGTTAGACAGTCATGGGAAAGAACTCCTCTCTGGAGCCCAAAAAGCTTGTCTCTTTCACCAGAAGAAGTCGGTCAACAAGGGCATGTCTACACAGCAAAGAAAAACCTGCATTTGGCCCATGCCAGCTGACTTTGGGCATGGAGCTCATGCTGTGGAACCCACTCATTGCTGTGAAGGCTTCCAGGCTTGGGCTGGAGCAGGGTCCTTGAGCTTGAGATCCAGTCTGAGTCTGACATCTAAACAGCAATGAAACTGCCTTGTAGCCCAAGCCCCATGAACCTGAGTTAGTTGCATGGACCAGCAGCAAATTTTCCTTCCCTATGTAAACATACCCTAAAAAATATTACCTGAGTCATCTTATTTCTCCAGTAGCACAAAAACAAATCCCTAAGTCTTATTTTGGTGATTATATGCACCAAGATAGTTTTGGGATCCCATTTTTCTTTGATCCCATTTCTACTTAAATTAATGCAATTGTTAGAGTGAAGTAATTTAAAATATATTAATACAACATATGATGTTTAGAATTTTAAAGTAATATCTTCATCTTGTTTTCTTTAAATGTGCATTACCAATAAGTATAAATCATGTACAGCATTTAATAAAAGAGTACTTGTACTAATAAAAAGTTTGTATCCTTGTGGGAATTTCATCTGAACATGCCAAAGCACTATCACATGCGTTAGGTAAGTCTGCCCATTAATTAGTTTATGAGACCTAACTATCACTACTTTCCTCAGGAGAGGTTTCAGAGGTTAGTCTGTTTCAGCAAAAACAACAAGAAGTCCAGTGGCACCCTAAAGACTAACAATTTTATTATGACATAAGCTTTTCTGAATTGCGAAGTTTATGCCATAACAAAATTGTTAGCCTTTAAGGTGCCACTGGACTCCTTGTTGCTCATCAGAGATATTATACTGATTTTACGGATAGGCAAACTGAAGCAAGAGATTAAGTGATTTGTCAAAAGTCACTAAACTAAAATAGAAACATTCAGAAGGCTATACATACGAACATTTTCAGATAATTCCATGGGGAAATTAACTGCATAGATCTCACAATGGTGTTTGAGAGAATCATATGATTAAAATCCTAATCCCTATATTCTTCTGAATCTTCATATATAATTACACCTTTTTTCTCTGCATTCATGAGCAACACATTTAACTAAACATGCTACCAGATTAACTTGTTGCTTTTTCGATTTGTGGCTAAGCTCCAGGCCTTTATGTTATTGTGGGGATAAAGTTTTATTCTAAAGCTTTTCTTCTCCATTTTATTTACTTGCTTGCTTGTATCTTTTAAAGAAAGGATTTAGAGATAACACTCTGTTATGCACATTTGCTGCTTCTATTTGCAAAATACAGTACTCTGTTTCTGCTTGCCCTGGTGCCCCATTGTCTCAATAGAATGCAAGAGCTGTATTTATATTGTATTGCAAGCATGACTGTCATTGAAAGACCTGCACAATAGAGCAAAGACAACAATTTAAAAAAAATCTGAGCAACAATCTAATGCACTCTTGAAAAAAAAACAAGCAGAGCTGAGATGTAAGATCATAAACAAAAGCAGCTGTGCATCATTCCATGTTACAAATAAAGAAACAAAGAAAAAGAAGAGACTGTATGCAACACAAAAGCAAGAGGCCAAAAATAAGAATTATGTACTCTGATGTACATAGTCACAAATATTAACAAGGAAAAGTAATCAGGAACAAAAGCCTCCATTCCATATACTGTAGTATTCCCGGACATATCTCACAATTCCCTCTAACTTTAGATCCAAATTTGCCTCTTTCACAAAGTAGTCGTCAGGTATATCACTTTTATCTCTGTAAATTATTAAGATCAAATTTTGACTCACAACACTGAGTTTACAGAAAATAGGTTAGATTACTGAAATAAATAAAATTACAGCAGGGATTAAAGTTCCACCAGAAATATACTTGCCCCCAAACTATTTCTGCATATGAATTGATCTCACAATATAGTCTCTTGTAGCACTGTCACAGACAACATTCTGAGACTATATCCCATAATTGGGCTTCAGCAGATTGAGAGGCAAGTTCTCAGCCTAAACCTGAAAATATGCATGATAACCTGAGCACTTTATTGCTCTGCACATTTAAAAAAAATCTCACACATGAAGTTGTTATGACTAACATAACATTGCCCATCATACTGATCAGTACTGATCAACTGTACTGTGTCTGCTTTTTGTTTTACACTTATATTGTCAACTCATCAAAGTACAGACTGTCTTTTTGTTCTGTGATGGTATAGTCTAGCGGGTCCTGGTCCATGACAAGGGCTTCTAGATACTTAGGCAATTCACATACACAAATAAATTGCTTGAATTCATATATTGTACATATATTGATATATTCACAAACCTTTCTATATTCATTTGGACAGGCTAATTACTCATCATGTTCTGTTTGTTTCTTATAGGTTACACTTATTGGGCCAGATCCTCAACCAGCATAAATCATTGTACAGTAGCTTCACTGATTTCAATGGAGCAGTGTCAATTTACACTGAGTCTATGGCTGACTACCTTGTATGTTTTTCAATAATGAGGGAGAAATGAACATTTTAGAAGACTGTCCACAAAAGCGAAGGACTAGTTTCTTAGCAATAAGATACTTTACATTTATGTATCTGATATACACAGTGTCATACAACTTCTAGTTCTTTTAAAAGCTAATATATTACTAAGGTATTATGCATCAATATACTTGATTACTTCCACTACTCTTGTTTCTGTTGCTAAATTATGCATGTGCATGTGTACTCAGAGCATGTTACGATAAAATGTCCCAATCCTGCCTTGTGTGGTATGTGGACAGACTGCTGTGCATTCATGGAACTTCATCAGTGAAGTTTCCAAGATAGGCACAGAAATCCACCCTGTTCAACACCATGCGGGATTGGGGCCAACACTATAGAGAATCTCAGAAATTATTTCATGACTCTGTTTTGGTACCCAGCAGAAACAAACAGTTCTCATAAGAGACAATTCAATACTGTAACACATTAAAAATAAAGTTTGAAAAAGAGTCTCAATTTAAATCTGCATTCCAAACACCATTCCCAGGTTAGAAAGAAGTAAATTACTTGGTCATGTTTCTTGCTAAGAAATCCTTCCTACAGATCTCTCCCATTCCTGGAAAATGGTTGATTCTCTAGAAAAAAAAGTGAACGTTGGTATTTGTATGCATTTCAATCACAAATATTATAGACAAATATCTCAAAGTATCAATTATATTAAGATCACATTATATATGAATTGGCAACGATTGTTTTAAATTATGCTCGATATCAAAGAGGCCACTCTAGATGTCATAGGTCACATTCTCTTCTCCCACCGGATTTATTCCTGCATATCTCCATCGACTTTAGTATAAGTGTGAGGTGAATCAGATCCTTTAACTGAGAAAATTATATGTAAACAAATAATGTTGTCACAAATGAATGTTAAAAAGGAAGGAGACAATTTACAGACAAATACGAGGGAGTGGGATTTTGATTATCTACCAAAATGTAAATTCATATCCAATTTACCCTATAAATGTTTCTGTATTTTGAATAAAACACTGAATTTCTGAGCAGGCAGGCAGGCAGAAGCAACTACAGAACACCAAAGATGTTGCCATCAGAGGCCAAGTAATATAGAAACTTCACACTGGGAAAACAAGATAGAAATTAAGAATCCTTAGTATCAAAATATTTGGTGCAGCAGTTGTTTCTGCCTTCTAGTCTGGTGATGAGTACAAATGACCCAGCACTATTATAGTGATTAATTCATGACTTCAGAATACATTTAAAAAAAATCTGATTCAGGAACATTAAGCATGCTACATGTCACCTGGTAGTTTCGGAGTTCCGCAATCTTCTCTTGTTGTACAGCAGAATCGCTCCATATGAGATTAGCAGTCTCATCTTCATCTCTTGTCTTCACAAACCCCATCTCTTCTATTACTAAACGAACTACACAAAAGTGATACATATACATGATAGTTTGAAATGAACCTTCCACATATAAAATAGAGTATTAATTTTCAGTAGAAATTCACTCTTTGCTACAGATCAATATTAGCATGCAAGCTAATACAGTTCATATTGTTCAGTTTATGATATTCAGTTTGGACAGTATCCATCTCTCTATTGCATAACTACTTATACAGCTTATGCGGTAACTGGAAACAAAGTAAAATCTGCAATGAGAACTGCAAAGAGCTTCTTAACTATCTAAAAATGGGTTAGTAACAAACCACTAAAACTCAAATGGATTTCAGATTATCTTGCTATTGGAATATTTGGATCCAAATAATTTTTTTACATTAGAACAATGCATCAATTTGCATTCATAAGTATTAGATCCTTGATTTAAGGGGCATTCTTGTCGGCCAGCTTCAGTGACACCTATAGTCCTTTCTGCTGTCAAATTAACATGTAATTGCAAGTTGGCAAGTTAGCACGTTTCTTGCTATTACATATGTTAATTTGACAGCGGCAAGGACTATTGGTGCCACTGAAGCCAGCAGACAAGGATGCCCCTTAAACCAAGGATCTAATGCTTATAAATGCAAATTGATGCATTGTTCTAATGTAAAAAAAAAGTCTGATGATAGAAGAAGAATTTTCCCAGAAGAATTTTCAAGATTTGTTTCCCCCGAGTGCAAGTAAGGTTTCTTTAGAAACTGTTCAGTCAGCAATCTGTATAATAGACTTGCTCTGATATCATCTCGTCAGGTGGAACTGGCAACTTTCTGGATCTGAAGCTTTCCCCATATGACAAAACTTCCACTAATGACCAAAGCTCCAGAAGAGTATTTGTACGGTCATCAAAAGCAACATCTCACTTGAAATTAGAAACACAACCATTCCAGCAGCTAAAGACCCTAACTAATTAAAACCATGCCAGACAATCTACAGAAAATTCCCTAGAAGATTGTGTAATGCTATATGAGCATTTTACAGAGATTGAATTTACAGCTTTAAAGAGCTTCCTGCACCTATTCATTCAGCAATTGGTTTAACCGACTCTTAGCAATAGCTCTGATAGGTATTCAACATCTGATCTCACTGCATGTTAACACTGAATCCCAGTGATTAAAGTTTACAGTACTGAAATTTAAATGACTTTACTGCTGATCAAAACATGCAGGAAAGAACAAAGCGACATAGTATGAAGATAGGCATAGTACATACAAGCCCCACTGAGGAGAGTCAACCCTAGGGAGCCTACTAGAGCTCAGGAGCTATTTTGAACTTCAACATAAACTCCTGTGAGCAACAATTTATTCTGGTATGGGATGCAGGCACAACTTGGTACGTCTTCATGAATCTTCAACAGAGATAGATCCACCTCTGTTGGTCCTTCGCTTTCTTTGGATTAGATATTTAACATGGGAACCCCACTGTTGGCTCATGATGAAGAAGTCCATGACTACAGCTTCCCCAGCTGCTACAAATAGCCTTGAATGCAGAATGAGCCAGCTCACATCCCTCTGGCTACATTAGGGTCTGCTTACACAATGAAAGTTGAGATTAAAAAAAGGCCTAGAGCCTAGGCTGGCTTTGGAGTAGTCTCAGATTTATGAGAAATTCCAGTGACCAAAGAAGAGACACACATTTATTGAACTACAGTCTGGGCCTTTGACTTCTAACAACCAATCATCTCAGTGTGGCTGCACTGCAACTCCTTCCCACTTGAAGAGCAGTCCCTATGAATGGAAAAGGATATTCTGTTTTGTGCTACTGGGGCTACTTTCTGTTCAAAATCTTGTATCTGGTGGGGGAGGATTGTTCTATCCAACGACTTTATTACTCCGCCTGCCCAGACTGAAGAAGGAGAGCTGAAGGCAGTGTGCCAGAACTCAAGAACCCGTGGAACCCAAACTTGTCTCTGCTTTTGCTAGATGGTGAAGAAATCAGAAGCAGAAGAAACTGGTTCCATCATGCGTATAAAAATAAGGAGGATTGGCAGGGGAGTGAAGAAACAAAACTGATCTGTTACCATTCCTTGAGCAGCTGAGAGCTCTCCCAGAACAAAGGCAAGACTCAAACTGATGGGCTGTTGAGACACTGCATATGCCAACTGCCATATTGCACTCTAGACTTAAAGTTGCATTTTTTTTAAATGAAGAATTAGAATAATAAGACACCCATAGGAGCTGCAATACTCAGTATTGCAGTTCCTAACTTTTAGGTACACTGCTACCTACCCTGAGTTAAGCTCCCAGGCTCCCTATACAATTTATAGGAGAGTCAGTCACCTAAAAAGGGGATTAACAGACAAAAGGAGCACCATCACTGGCATCTAGAAAGGAGATGGGGAATCAAACTATGAAGATTTTGCTATTTGAATCACAGCTCATTTTTTCACTCTGAATGGATACCTCCTCTTACTTTTCTAAAACAAGAAGGAGGTAAGCCTACCAGAACACCAAAGACCTACCAAGGTTCCTGGGCTGGAGCACTCATGGAAAAAAGCTAGGGACACTAGCCCCTGCACTCAGCAGCTCTTCCCCTGCCCTTCCAGAGCTTCCAGTATCTCATTTGCAGAGTTGAGCTCAAGACGGGTGGGGGGGAGGAGCAAATATGGGGGGAAGGTCAGGGGCAAAGACAGTGTGGCTGCAGAGCTTCATGGTCAGGGGTCAGGAGCGCAGCCCTGCAGTGTGTGTAGTGGGCCAGGTGTGCAGCCCTGGTCCCAAGGGTTGTGTTCTGGGTCCCCAGCCATGGGGCTCTGCAGCTACCCTGACACATCACCCAAGCGGCCCCCATCCTCCAGTTCTCACTTGGTCAAAGCTGACCCTTCTGCTGCCACCAGAACTGATCTCATAGCCAGCAGCAGCAGAAGTTACCTCCCCTGGTCAGGCAAATTCCCTTGTTCAGGACCAGTCAGGGAAGTACAGCCTGTACTACCTTTTTTCTTCCACTTCAAACCCCGGACTTGTAGAAGATCTTGGACCATCAGTCCACATAGGTAACAAACAAAGCAGGTCTCACAAATATCACTGTAAAGTCCAGAAATAATTTTCTACCTCCAAGAGCACTCCCTGAAATGAAGATATAGCTTCATGGAGAGTTGAAGGAGACCAGGGTTTCCTAACTCAGCCAGTCAATAAGGAGATCTCCAATGGCAAGGAAATGCTTTGTGTCTGGAGACTGGCCCCTTTTTTTCTGGAGAGATGTCAGAAAAAGCCTACTACGAAGATTGCTATATGAATAGGAGAATATATTTTAACATGGTCATTGTTCAGTTTTAATAAAGTAGCAGCAGTGGCAACCCCTATCCCAAAACAGATAAAATGTCATTCCCAAAAACCTATTTTTTTAAAATCTGAAGCCATGAAATAATAGTCTCATTTTGTATATCCCCATCGACATCATGAAGACCGTGTATAAAATTAACCAGATAGTAGCTTCAAGTGTGAGACATACAAGAACATAATCAGTTTCTTAGAGAGATTTGTATGAAATGATTAAAGAATTTGACATTAAAGCCTTAAGAAAAGAAAGGTGTAAGTTATAATTATTTAGCTAAACATATAAGTTTTCTAAAGCTTTATTAATTGTTTGTTGATATTTTAATAGCAGAACAGGATTGATGGGTACAGAAAACATGCAAGAACAGTGGCTATATCCTATAGCACATCACAGAAATATTCCTACGTCAAAAAGAAAACCACATGGCATTAAATCACTATGGGCCTGACCCAAACTCCACTAAAGTCATAGCAGGGTCCTTCCATTTACTTCATTAAGTTTTGGATTGGGCCCTACAACAGTGAAAGTCCCCTTTCCTTCCTGATTCTACTTTTTATTTTATTTCTGCAGTCTGGTATTGATTCTTTTCATACACCCCAGTACTTATTAAAAAATTAGCAGAATCTGTAGCCTCCTACCAATTTCATATTTTGTGCCAGCTACGTTCGCAGTGATGATTCCATTCTTCTTCTTCTTTCTGACTTTTCTTTTAATTGTGCTTTGGTAAGGCAGTTCTGAACTCAAAGTCAGACAAGAGGTTCCTTGGTTATCTTTGAAAAATAATATTTGTAACAATCAAACAATACCACAACACAAAAAATAATGCACATAACTGAAAAGACAACAGTACAAAAGAAATGTGAGTTAGCCAGTTACAGATTAGTAAGCTTTGATTCAGATTGATTAACAGTTACAAGAATGATGAAACACCATCATTAATGAGCCATATTAAAAATACAAGAGTTCTATAATCAATTTGCATACCTCCCTCATTAGGCAAGGATGGCATTGTAACATGGGGCTTTGCAGAATCAGGTGTCCAAATTCTGTTCCAAGTTTTCAGAAAACCAGGCGGAAGGCCCTCAGAGTCAAATAATTCAAAGCTTGTGTCATACCATTTCAATCTGTGATTATGGTGACTCTCAAGTACGGAAGAGACAGGTATCTGCATTTTAAAAGAATTTCATTATAAAGGAAAAACACATATTAAGATGTTTCTTCCTTTTGATTGTGGCAATATGCATACCCAAAATTGATGCTTACTTTTAGAGACTTAATCAAGCTAGCAAAAATATGTCAATGTATTAATCAAAATGCACTCTTCCAAACAGTAGTTTTCTGTTCAATTTATGGTGAAGAAAATTTTTTAGCTTCATCTGTTCTTCACTTACCACACATTTTGCCTATCTTACATATTTATATGATTTGTTAATAAATTCAATACACTTTGGGAACTTTTATCCTCAGCAGTATGCACTGAATTCCTGGCAAGTTTCAGCCACGCTGAAAATGTCAAGATTTTAGATAATTTGAGCAAGGATGGTATCCCTAGCTGGGAATGGGTGAGAGGGGAGGGATCACTTGATGATTACCTGTTATGTTCATTCCCTCTGAAGCCACTGGCATTCATTACTGCCAGAAGACAGGATACTGGGCTAGAAGGAATATTCGTCTGACCCAGTATGGCCATTCTTATGTAAGTACAATATTATTCATGCTTCCACCACCATGAGGGGGAAAATGTGAAACTATTTGCTGAACGTTTATTAAACCCGTTTCATATAACCTGTGAGCACAGACACTAATATGCTGTCACAGGGTGACTGATCCCTGTGACTGAAGTAGTAGGTCCAGCACACCCGTGCCAGACCAGGTACATCCCACTGCATCAATGAAAGGGGTAGGACTATATCTGGGCTATAAACGGTACAGGAAAGTTTGGTGAGAACAGATCTGAAAGGGAATAAGGCTACTGTAAGAAAGAACTGGTTCAGGGATAGTGAGCCACAAAAAGGCAGGAAAGCAAGACCACCAGAGTCCTCTGGGAGAGGTATCAGGGAGAGCCCCAGATGTATAAGGTGAGCTGAGGACTTGTGTTTGTTTGTTAAAATGGACAATAAAACTGCATCAAAGAGACCATGGGCATGGCAATGAGTCATTTTGCAGCTGGGGAGGGCCCTGCCTTATCATACATACATTAATCTTAACTTGTTTGATGCTGTGGATTTCAAAGCTGTTAGATTGATCATCATACTGTATTGTACCCTTCATGCCATCATGAAAGGACTGACTCAAATGAAAGGTGGGGAAGGAAGCCAATTCTCCCTAGTGTAGTCCCTTTACTAAAGGGCCTCTGTTTTATTCTGAAAAGACCCTGTGTGCTACCATCCAGACTACAATTCCCATGAGCCCTTAGGAAAAAGAGGAAGGAAGGACTCTTGTGTGGGAGATGACTGCCCCTCCATGTGCATGAAGAAAAGAGGCCTGGCAGTCTGGGACTCTGCCTTGGAGTTTGTAACCGAAGGGGAGACAGGCTGATGCCAAGGAGATTGATCCAGTCCAGGGGCTGTCAAAGTGAAGCTACAGACCGGGACTAGGTGCCTATTGGAACTGGGATTTAGCAGGCTGCTTCCAATAGGCATAGCATGAGGCAGTAAGTTTTGGGCTTGTTGGGAAAATGCTGCCTGGGACAGAGCTGCTGTTTAGCTTGGACCGAATCTCCACTACAGCTGCAGTTCATCAGTGCACCAACGCAAGCAAGAGTCTGGGACTGTGAGTCCAGTGGTGTGCACACTCTGGGGTGGGGTCACTGATAGTACAAATGTTAGCTGTATATGCTTCAATTATTGTTATGTGTTTTGTTAATGCTATTCATTGCTAATTCTGTTAATCCCTGTTTATTTAAGTTAAGATTGTTTATTTTAAAGTGTTCTATTAGATGTATATGATTTGTAGTTGTTCTGGAATTAGATCCAGATTATAGTTAGAATGAGTATGTTCCTGGAGGCTCTCAAGGCACACCAGTGAGTGTGTACAAGGCCAGCCAGGTGGAGGCACCGCCATTTTACATTCATTACGAGCAAGGGACTGCAGCAAGGGGGTGGATAGGGCTTTCCCCAACTAAACACCATCACCACTGGGGTGCTCAGGATCTCTTTTGGGTTAAAACATCAGGCACCCAGGCACACCTGTGAGTGTGACCTGCTTCCCGTTAACCCAGGTAGGAAAAGGGGGGTTACACTAGTAACTGAAAAAGGCCCCTTATGCTGATCAGGTCAAAAGACATTGTAACGTATAGGGCAGTCATACAAAAAGGTCTTTCTTGGGCTTGACATTTTTCTAGTGGTTGCCCCATGTGCCAGCTACACTGATTCTAAGGATATACATATTCAGTAAGAACTTGCAGACTGTGGGAAATGTCCTGTGAATGCCTTTCCAGCAAGAGCTGGCAAAGATGTGTTTTGGCATAAACACTCTCTAGCATATGTTTCCTCTTCTGATTCTTAATACTTTCATCTAGCACCGGGAGTATACATCTCCATACCAGATCAGATAGAAAACCCTTCAACACTGCACATTTCAGAACAAATAGCAAAGCTAAACACATATCAATAAAATAACTTCTTGTTGCTGATGAGACAGTATTTAGTGCACATAGTAAAGAGGGACTCCAGCAACTTTGCAGAAGCTTTGTGCTAGATTGGGATGAGTTTGAACTATCAGTCTAAAGGAGACAATGATCATTACACCAGAAGTTTTAATACTGTAGTTAGTTCTACTCTAGACTTTGTACACAAGTTCTGTTATTTGGGATCAACTATGTTGAATAGCTATGTCTAGATGGCTAGCTTAATTCTTGCATTAGAAAGGCAGCCACCATATTTGGTCAACTAACCAAGTGCATGTGATATAACAGGAAACTGACACTGAATACCAAAACACAGTTCAAACCTTGATAAACTATATTCTTCAAATACCAAAAAGAATTGCTACTATAATGTATGTACCGACATATTTCCATTAAGTTTTTGTCTTCTAAACATTATTATACTAAAGTGAATCTCTAGAGGCATTTTAGATGTATTCATGCTTTAATATATACAGCCGCTCCCTGAGTTACGACCACCTCCACTTACGAACATCCGCACTTACGACCAATGCGGTCATAAATGCCGATCCGAGTTACCAATGGCGATCCGCGCTTACGTACAGCGCAGTCGCCATGTAACTCTATGGGATCCAAGTTAAGAACATTTCAAGTAACGGACCAAGTGTTGGTCCGTAACTTGTTCCTAACTCGGGGAGCGGCTATATACATATCAAATTTGTCTTGCAGCTCCTTCACAATCTAAATCTGCATAAACATAATAAAAGTTTTGTTAACAATTGTTTAGCTGAATACTGTGCTCTGCTCCACTCAGTTTACACCTGTCATGAAGCATGGAAACAGTTATAAATATGCATGTATTAATTCTTACCCATTTTAAATGTCATATGTAACTAATTATATGCATCGTTTTCTTTTCCAAACATTTCCCTGTCTTACATGCTAATATGGAATGCCAGATTTTGAAGGTACAGCTCACAGTGTTTACTTTGGGCTAATCATCCTGACATGACTGATACTTGTCCTTTAACAGAACAGAATACTTACAGAAACCTGGCTGATCTCTCTCTCCAAGGGAGAGGCTAATTACATCTATAGTTCCAAAGTCAAAGCAAAGTGTTGTATAGCAATTGTGATATTTTGGTAAAATGTTTCTGATTGGGAACTATATGGCTCAGTCTAGCATGTGGTATCTCTCCTCTAGAGAACCAGTTCAACTCTGGCCCAAATCAGAGTGACAAAAAAACCTATTCAAACTGGTGATTGGTTTCTCTCTCTTTTTTTTTTTTTAAACAGAAGCGTGTAAGAAAATGTGAGAAGATATGGAAGAAGACAAGTTGTTTTACCTAACAAGACTATTAAGTGCTTTGTATCTCATATTTTTCTTTAAAAGCCAACTTTCATGAAGGGGATCCATTTAATAACTGTTTTGCTCATTCTTTTGTTCATGTATATAAGCTATGTGGCTTTTTAAAGTAATCTATGCTCAGATCTGACAATAGACTACATATGTGCCAAAATAGGCATTCCAGATGTACTCAGTGCTGGGAAAAACAAAGGCTAAAGAATCATGATACTGCAGCAAAATATTTTAAAAGGCTTCAGGATCAGGAATATAAGAACACCATGATTAGTTAAAACAATTTTTACACACATTTGTGCTTACACACTTAGTACACTAAATACTCCTCATCCATAGTACAGAATCTGTCCCATTATCTCTAATTAATATATCCCAGGCCTGCAATCAGTGTTTCTAGACATAAACTAATTTCTAAATGGGGCTTGCAGTGGCTATGGCCATGAATTACATCTTCTAAATTCAGATCTTAGCACATCAGAATGCTGTCTAGTCTAGCACCCAGAATGGCACTTCCACACCATGATGCAATGCAAATTGACAGACATTGGCCTGCAACCTACAATCCAATTCAAAATGTCATGTAATGTATTCAAAATCAGGAATCCGGACACAAATGAACAACCACACAAAGGAGAAATATCTCTTTATGGTTTTCTAAAAGATTAATTGAAACTAGAGCTTCTTGTGTACACAATGAACTCCTGTCCACACTACAATAATTGCTCTGAAGTTTTAGGTCAAAAGTGTGGCATATACCCAGCTGTTTATATACAGGAGAATAAAAGAAAGAAATTAAATACTGCACAACAGGAAAAAATTACAAAACCATTTCTAAAAATAACAAACACTTTGGCCGGAGTTTTAAAGGAACATGGAAGAGTTAGATGCTCATGTTCTATTTAATTTCAGTGGGAAGCTGATACCTAACTAACTTAGGCTCCTTAACATGCCCTTAAAGATCTATTTGTAATGAGTTCAGACCTCCATCACAACCTCATTTGCCACACTCCATACTATACAATAGTAGGCAGCATGTAATCAAAAGTCTCAGAAAAATTCCTTCATCTGCTGAAAAATGCAACACCTAAAGCATGGGAAAAAACGTATATCAAACATTCCCCATACAAATTGTTTTATCTTTGACCTGAGCAAAATGAAGCATCATGAGACTTTTCTGCCCAAAGTGGGTAATTTT